AAGCACCGGTTTGAGCACCGTTTAAGCACCGGCACCGTTTCAAAAGTACCGGTTTGGCACCGGTATCGGATAAAACCTAAACGATACCCATCCCTACGCACGATAATATAACACAACACGTGTTAACTGAAATCACCTGGTGCAGTTAAGCGCTGCGCTTCCTCCCGCTCACTTCCATGGGTGGCGGTAGCTACAAGTTAACCGTCCAGGTCTTTTCTCTTTCATGACTAAAACTGCCTTTCATGTAAAAGTTAAACCTAAAACACTGGAGTGACACTGATGGCTGTGCATGATGATAATAAATCAGTTTCTGTGAACCCCCAAACCGATTCACAAGAAAATAGTCCAGTGTTTTATTTCATCAATCACACAAATCACACACACATACAGTTTAGAGTGAAAGGTAAGAGGGCTGGGGAACTACCAGCGCCAAGGCTGGAAATGATGCAAGAAGTGCAAAAGGTTTATCGTACAAATTATATTATTTATTATCAACAACTAGAGCACTGTCTATTTTGGGTGATTATGACATTAAAACCGAACACGATCAAATAGTAAACATAGCATATTAAACATTACAAAGCAAAAAATGCAAAGGGGAAAAATTACATTAAAAAACCATTAGCTCTGATAAAGACAGGTTTTTATTGCTGTCTCCATTAAGGTTCATTCAGTAGACAAGATAAAGCAATTTATTGCCTTTACTAAATTCCCGTAATATTTAACAGCATTGCCTGTAACCCATTACAGGCAAAACCCGAGCCACATCCCGCCTGAATCCCAAATGAGGGCAACATGAAATGATCTTTTAAAGTGCTGGATCTTTTTTATTAGTTCTTTCCTACACAAAGTCGCCAAAAGACTACTTGTGACCGCAAATAAAACCAGAACAGAAGGTGGGAGCTGGGAACATGCAGCAATAACACTGAAACCAGTGCTTCTTAGACATGAAACATTTAGTTGATTGATGATGGAATTAAAAGCCAACTTTCTGATGCACAAACATGCAATCCACTGAAAGGATGGTTTAGTTCATTCCATCTCAAAGATAATAAAGTATCTTTGGGATTAAGATGATTCCAAAGAGTTCCTGAAGAATTTCCTGACACATACAAAACAGTTTATCAAGGATTCACATCTTGGCTCATCTGAACACTTACATGATTAGTAGAGGGACAACAATCCTCAGGACAAACCCCAACACCTGTTAAATACCTGGGAGCCTCCCATCAGTGGCTTTAGAGCTAATTAAGCCTCTTGAAGGAGACGTGAAAGTTTCACAGACTAAAAAGAAGAACCTACACTGACTTAATCAAGTCAGATAAAATATTTTTTGGGGGAAAAATCGTTTCCAAAATTTAAAACTGAAAAACTCTTATCAGCCAGGCCCATCATTTGGCCCAACTCTGAGAACAAGACTCAACACACGAAAGCCTTGCAGCTCCAAGCTTACAGGTGCATACAGTAAGGCATGAAAAGAAGCGAATAAGAAATTTTAACTTCAAACAAACCGTGCCGGGTTCCCATGGTGGCCAAGCTGAGCCAAAGAACATTTTTGGTGAGGATGGTGAAGGTGGGGGAGTGTTTGAATTTTGTGATCTTCTCATCAGTGGCTCTCTCCCACAACCAGTTGAAGCCCTTTTGTCTACCTGGCCCAATTATCTGATGTGATTCATTTCATCTCTGCACTACCCTTTTCTGGTATCCCAAGTGTATCCACCCAGGCTCAATCTGCACAGAAAGCTTCGCAAATAGATCTAAGGAGCAAGGGATGTACTTACGACTCAATGCCTAAAGGGAAATCCTGGCTCATGGCTACAGTAGCTTTGAAGTTCTTCTTGCTTTCCTTACAAACAAGCTCCCTGCCAAGATGAGGTGGCCTGAAGGTGAGAAGAGGCACAGACGAACACAAAAAGATGTTATTTCACACTCAGCAGTTATACATATTTTCTTCTACCTGCCCTGAATAAATTCCTAATTACAGCGACGACTGATGACATCGTAGAAAACACAAGGTGCTTACTTTCCGTGCTCCGCGGTTATGTACTCCTCCCATGAAATTGTATTGGGTGCTGGAGCTGTGAGGGACTGCCTTCTCACGGGCTGGAGGGCAGAAAAACATCCGTCAGTGTTAGCACCATTCACCGCTGGCGGATGAAGCCACGGCCCTGAATTTTTTCCTTCTCACCTCAAAACTCTGCTCACTGATGCTGCCTCCTTTACTTAAGCTCTCCATGATGGCTTTGTTCCTCAGGATGTCTTCTTCACTTAGGTGCTCCCGCCGTTTCCGTGACTCCAGCACCAGACCGTTCACTGCATAGAAGTCAGCCAGGAAGTTTCCAACTCTCTCCTGTACAGGAAACAAACAGATGGTGCCATACTTCCAATGCAACAGCAGTAAAAACAACATTTCAAACTTGGGATGTGCTGCACAGGCTGTATGGAGGATCAAAGTGAGGCTTGTGATGCCTTCAAGGGGTCATGAGGTAAAACCTAAGGGCTAAGTATGTTTATTTCCCTCTAATCTTTCAATGTGCTTGTATGTCTTCGGGATACCACAAAAGAAAGAGACTAAAATGAAGAAGCAAAGAAAAAAACAAACGCTTTTTAAAGCAGTAACTGTCAAACTGGGGATCATAGAGCCACTGACACCTCGATGCTCAAGGAGCTGAACTTATGATACATATGTAGAGAAAATGAGAAAATGAGCTCATGTGACAATCAGCTACGGACCATTACTCTACACTAGCCTTAATTTACAATAATTAAGCACATCCAGAACTACACAGGTCAATGAAGACTGATTTTTCAACATACATGTGATGTTTAGGATATCTGATAGAATATTAACATGAAAAATGGCTATTTTACTTTGATTTTTTAGAGTTGTTTTTACTTTTGTGTTTCACAAAACATTAGGCTAAAATTTCAAGCACCACGGCTCTGCTGTTGTGCCTGAGGGCAGCCATCTGCCTGGGTTGCAGCTGATCCTGGTTCACCTGGATGTTGCTTCCTATTAAAAGGGAGTTCTTCCTTCCCACTGTTGTAAACCTTACACTATAAAACGCCTCGAGGCAACTGTTTTTGTAAAATGGGAAAGCTCCCAGTGCTTAAAAACCCCAAAGGTCCTTTAATATGTTTTTTTCCCCCTTCTTCATCCTAATGTTGTCACATTGCTTTTGCTTTAACCATACTGTGAAATAAGCCTTACTGTTTTATCCTCTCTGAAGAGCCAGCCGATCTGACTACGAGAGAAAGTGATGGACTTGGTAGAAAGGGTTGCAGAGTAAACGTCGCTGCTCATCAGAATATCCACCTCCTCTTCTGTCTCCATCTCTGACTCCTTGGGGCAAAAACACTGAGTCAACTTCTTGCTGTTCATTTCTTTCACATCTTTCTGATGACATGATGTGAAACAGAGGTCTCCTTATGCCCCCCCAGTTACCTCGTGGTGTATTCTTTGGTACACTTTTGCTTCATTGTCCAGAACCACAAAGGACTGGGATGGTGCGGCATCGCCGTTGAAAATGAAGCTAAGATCGCCGCGCTGACATTTCATATCGGTGAAGTCTATGAGAGTGGTGTCAAGTCTAAATCAAGAGAGAGGAGGAAGAGTGTGTGAAGATAGTTACGTCCTACTTTTCAGAGCTAAAAGAAGTTCTCGACCTCAATAGGAAACATATGCTACATTAAACACACGGTGGTGTAGATGGGGGCAGACTTTAGCTAGTATTTATATCTTACCTGATATTGATGCCCTGCTTGTAGATTTTACAGGCATCAGATGGCAGCATCCGGGACAATAAAGGCACTACAACAGATGAGACGTGCATTTATTCAATAGTGACTTCCTGCTGTGTTCGCACTTAATGGAGATTTTTGGGTGAGGTTACAGCTCCGGAAATTTTCAAAGGATTTAAAAATCAAAAGCAGCCTTATAAACTATTACACGCTGTAGCTGTGTGTGAGAATATGTTGCAGAAAATTTCACATTTGCGTGAAAGTTAAAACTCACCCCAGCTCTGAAAGTCCCAGTGCAGCTCCAGATAAAAGTCACCGAGCTGCACCAAAGCATTCAAACACATCAAAAGGTCAACGCACAACATAACAGAAAGTTCAGATTATACGTGCATCATCACTTGATATTGCATGCTCACGGGTAGTCAGCAGACATTTAACCAAATCAATACAGAGAAGGTTTTTCAAACTTTATGGGACTAAAGCTTTAACAATGTCAGTGGAAAACCTGAGTTTGTCATCGCAGTGTTTAAATGAGTCTCACCTCTCTGAGAGCTTTGAGTAATTTTGGCCTCTTGTCCTCCACACTCTCCCTCGACTGCTGCTTCAGTTTCCGCAGTATTGCTGTGACTGGGGGAAGACAACAGGGATGGATCATAATGGATGTGAATTACAAAAATGTGGTATGACTTTCAAACTCATTTTTTACATTGTGTGCCCACTGTGATCTTAAGTGGGCCGGGCAGGCGAAACTGTCCTTTCTGTCAGCGTAAAGATGTTTAGCTACACATTAAATCCCTGAAATATCTTAATATAAGAAAAAGAAGTGGCAATTTTAACAGCATGTCTAAGTTTTTCTAAATGATTTCATTGTTCAGCTATTACTTAATTCCTCTGGTTTGCATAAATGGTCATAAGGCTATCTTTACCAAGAGCAAAGACTGTAAAACTTATAAAAATAAAGTTAAAGGTCCCCAAAATGTAAGCCCTCTTTCACATTTTCAGCCTGCCAGTGGGCCAAATTGGAGTCTTTGCCAGGCCGATTCTGGCCACCTGGCCTTATGTTTGACAACCCCGATCTAAAGTCACAACTGTGCATTTTAACAGGAGCTGCTGAGTGCATGTTATTAATACATTTTTAAACCCCTAAAGCATGAGTATTGGCACAAGCCACAAATATTTTATGGTGGTCACCCTCTCTTCCAGCATTTTCAGATGACCTTTCGCGCTGAGGGAGATATGAGTGCCAGGATATGCATATTTCACAACCAGTCCACAGGACTGAACTCTGTCACCCAAATCCTGACACACTGATTGCCACAACAGTTAAAATTGTCTGAATTTCATAGATTATTACATAACACAAAAACACTGAATCCCACCCAGCTTTATATAATTTATATAACTGTGCAGACACCACAGCTGTGATTGGATCGGCTGATGTAACCCGTTGGCTCGTGAAGTGCACGACTTCCTCTCACAAACTGACCAGCGTCCTCTCAATGATACCAGAATGAACCAGAGGGCAACAAAAAAAAAAAAAGGAAAAAAAATGATATCTCAGCATATCTCACACATATCCTTGGTTATTTCAGCCAGGGGAAATATTAGGCAGAAAATAGACGTGACCTAAAAGAGAAGTGCTGACGAGGCACACGCTGCTGCACTCGGGCAGTTGATAATCGCACGTCCAGATAGTGAGCTGCTGACACGATGGGCACATGTGTAAAAGTGAAAGCTGATGACTGATGACAAGACTGCAGTGCTTTGTGACAAGCTATAACACACACAAATAGACACTTGACATTTGGCAAACCCCATTATTATTCCTTGCTCTCTGTCTCTCTTTAACACCAGCTGTGCACCGGCTGAAATTTAGCCAAAGATTTAAATCTAAATATCCTTTGTCACTGGATTATGAATTTCTATGCATGGTTTAAATGCACCCGGCCCCCTCTCTGTCCCTCTGCCACCCCTTCACCCTTGTGAGTGATGTGACCTTCTCAAAAGCAAAGCTCCCGGTCCCAGTCCCAAGACAGCCTGCCACAGCAAGCACAGAGAGCCGAGACGCATACTAACAAGGGCTGAGGGTCATTATTCAAACTACCAGGCCTCAAACGCTTTGTCGCAGGCTGTGTAAGAAAATGATGCTCATAGCTCACTCGTATCATCTATAGAGCCAAAAGCAAGAACTGAAAATGTGCAGCTCAGCACAGCTACAGAAACTAAAATAAATTATTTACTATTCAGCCCTTTTAGCAGACAATTTATATGTTACTTTAGCTTGAACAAATCGCACTAACTTAACCCAAAACCTACAAGGACAGAGGAGCGAATATATCCACAAAGCATTAGCTGGGACCTTTTACATGTCATTTGACCCATTTCACTAGATGTCGAAACTAAAAGCGGTAGCATCGTTAAGCAGGGCAGTGGCAAGCTTTAAGCTTGGGGCTAACACTAAGCCATTGCTAAGGCAGCGTTCCAGCCCATCTGGATGGTGAGTGCTCAGAGAAAATCCCCACCATAGCTTTTTAGATGGGATGGCCAGAGAGCACTTGTTGTGGTTAAACACTTACATGACTAACAAATGATCCTAACACTTATCTCATTACCTTACGACAATGCCGGAGGAGACAATTTGCTAGAAATTCTATATCTTCAGCATTATTACACAAGTTTTATTTGTCAAAAAAAATGAAACACTGATCTAACCCTCATTTAATGCAGACACGTTTTCTGAAACTTAAGATTTCATCTATAATCAGAATAACTCATTTGATTCCTGATGCCAGTACAAAACATGTGGGGAAAGAAAATCCAACCAAAACACTGCAGCTATCAAGCTGATGTTCAGTAACACCACTACAATATGAACATTCATACAGAACACCTTCCCAATTACCGATATGACTGAATAACCCACAAATACTGTCTAAAGAACACATTGTATATCTATATAACCCTCAGATAGGCAGAACTCAGCCTAACTGTCAAAACAGGGAGTGTGTATGATTGCAGGTGTGACACTGAGATTGTAACAAACAGATCCAAATATGAAAAGCTCAACTCAGTCTACAGCTATTCAGAGTAGTTTTTAAAGGCTTACTCATTTGCCTGTCACCGTAGCTGATGGCTTCTGCTAGAGGACTCCATCCCTGTGCATTTTTTATCTTTACAGGTGCATTATGGGCCAACAGGAGGAGAGCGCACTCTGAAAAGGAGGAAAAAGAGAAGAAAACAACCAAACAATGAGTGACAAATGTGATTAGTTCTACAGTTCTGTTACTGCTGCACTATCACTACATGCATTGTTATTAGAAACAATTTTAATATTTGCAAAAGGCCACTATATAGTGTTCTGCACATGCTCAAATTACGCTCATTTACAGGACCATGATTTGAAGGGTGGGTAAAACGGGTTTACCCACAATAATGTTTCTCATGCTGTATACTGCTGCAGCACTCTGTGGACTTCCTGACTAAAGTGCTTCTCTTTAAGGATCCTCTCCTAAAAAAGCCAGTTTGCTTTAATTGGTGAGCTGGCCTGACAACATGTTTAGAGCTGTGAGTGCTGAAATCGGACCACAACCATTGCCTTTAACTTATGTGAATGTAATCTCATCCATTACAATGTCAGGGTTTTAACAGCAGAGAGCAGCAGGTTCAAAAATGGCTCGAAAGCGACATGTGGTTGATATTAGTCATAACGGGCTGTGTTTGTGTCACTGTTTGACAACTGAAATAACAAAGTGTACATCAGAGCAGCTTCAATTTAGAGTAATTTCTATAAAGACACAGCGCATGGGCGCAGAGAGAGCAGGAGAGAAGCAAACAGATGGTAATGATGGCCACATTAGAGACAGACACATGCTTACGCTAAACATTTCCTGCATGTCGGCGGAGTTGCCATAAAAACTAAAAGTAGTACACTTGGTCTTCAGTTACTCAAATGACAGGAGTGCATGAAGACTCTTGACTTTACTCATTCCTACAGTTATACTTGGCAGATTTGGCTCTAGCAAGGAAATAATGGCAGACTGTGAAACAGCTGTCTGCATCTGGATTAAGTTGAGGCAGCTGTTCTGTCTTCATTTGATGGCATGCCAAAATAGGCATCAGACAGCCACTTTGTTAAACAGTGAAGTAGGTACGGGGCAGCTGTGGCTCAGGTGGTAGAGCGAGTTGTCCACTAATTGCATGGTCACCAGGGCAAGAAACAAATTCTTTTCTAGTAGTTCAGTTTAATCTGTACCAAATTAAGGTTTCAGGACTAAAGGACTTTGCGTGGTACACAGACTACAAAGAACTTTGAGTCAAATTTGTGATATAATTGACACATAAATGAAATTGTGTCTCTGTGCCCATAAATTGGCTTCTTTGTATGCAATTACTGATATATGTGGATTTCTCTGAGCCTAACTAATGTGTCATACCAAGATTATGTTATCGCTGCTCTGCAGAGGTCAGATAAGACACGGTTATGCGCACAAAGGGTATGTGGGCTATTCCAACACAGGAATAGGGAACTGCTGCGTTCAAAGGGGGCTTTTAATGAGGATTCAAAATACTCTTTTAATAAAGCCATGTTAGGCCACGGAGAGCACGGTAGATTTAGTCAAATTTCCTGGGCTTAAGCAGATACTGGAAGATTACTTTTTCAGAGTGCTCTTGGTAATTTTGTTTAATCCAGTGCAAGGTAATAATAATTTTAAAATGAGGTTATTTCATTTTACTACTCTATGGTTCAGCATTACCTTTGTGGCCCAACATGACAGCCAAGTGAAGAGGTGTGTTTCCTGGAATTAAAAAAATAAACACATCAAGTAAATATCAGCCTCTAGCACAAACACTGTAAATGTAAATGGAAACATGACAGCAGAAAGCTTACCATGCACATCCTTCTGGGAGATGCTGTGGGTCCTGATGAGAGAGGAGAGCCTACGCACATCTCCCTTAAACACGCATTCATGCACAGGGAACTCCAAGTCGTCACTGGTCAGGATTATTGGGTTCTTGTTGTTGTCACTGACAACTGATGTGTTACCGTTGATGTTGTTGGCATTGAGCTGCTGCTGTTGTTGTGCCGAGGTTTTGATTGACTTCTGGAAAGCCTTGTTGGACTTGAAATGCTTACTGGTGCCGTTAGAGATAGTCCCGTTGGAGGTCTCATCGTACGTGTCCATTATCTCGTCATTTTTGTTCGGTTTCTTGTGGTCCTTTCTCATGGTGCGTATCTTCTCACCTGTCATGATGTCTATCGTGCGGTAACTGGGGAACTACACACGAGGCTAACGTTTGGTGAAGATGCGATATGAATCCGGTTGGTAGTGGGCATTAGCAAAAAAAATCCACAAATATGAAATCTGCTCAGTCCTATTAGAAATTTTGAGCTAACGGCCGGCGACGCTTTTTCGCAACGCTTCTGTTATTAAAATAGCGGTACGCGGTTCCTAGGACACGTTAGCTAGCTGCAAGAAAATGAATATGGTTTGATTTATCTATGGGTGCGGCGATGAAAACAAAAAATAAAAAATAATGACAAACATTAAAAAAACCACACACACAAACAATGAATCGGGAGAATAAGAAAGAAGAGCAAACGACTACATCGTTGTCTCTTCTACCACGTCTCTCGGATGCAGGTTTAAAACGGTATCGACGCTTTGCGGCTGAATTCAGGAGAATGGGGCGATACAACAATCCTGAGCCTCAGCTAACATCCCTGCTAACCCCGTTAACAGGCAACTGACAGATCTCGCGAGATTATTCTATTGCGTCATCTTTATGAGACGCGCGTACTTCTCCAGAAGCAACTCGCTGGCTAGCTAACGAGCTTGTTTTTGTTTACAAGAATGGCGACCTCTAAAAAAGGGAAGAAAGTTGTTAATCAAGAGGAACTTCGACGGCTAATGAGGGAGAAACAAAAGCAAGCCAGTGACAAGAAACGCGTCGAGTCTCCGTTTGCTAAATACAACAGTCTCGGTCACCTCAGTTGTACCCTGTGCAATGTGCAGGTGAAGTCCGAACTACTGTGGCCGGCGCATGTTCTTGGGAAACAGCACAAAGAAAAGGTTGCTGAGCTGAAGGGAGCAAAAACTCAACCGGTGACACCGCAGAGTCAACCACTGAAGCGGAAAGCACCCGACGACGAGGACGTTAACGGAAAAAAGGCGAAACCCGCAGCGGCTCCTGGTCAGCCTTCGTTAGGACTGCCAGGAAATTTCTTTGAGAAACCCAGCGAGAGGGCAGCTGCGTCTTCACAGAAGACTCCAGGACTGAGCCTGCTGGCTGGAGTCTATGATGAGGACGACGATGATGATAATAATGAAGCTACTGGGGAGACAGGTAAACAGGTGGCCACACATCCGCCTGCTCAGAAGGATGAAGCTGCAGGACTACCAGCTGACTTCTTTGACAGCTCCATCCCACCCACGCCTGCAATCTCCCATTCAGGCTCCATCCTCAAAGCAGACGTTCAGGAGAAGATCCCAGAGAAGAAAGACAACACAGCCGAGGCGCTCCCGGAGGGTTTCTTCGACGATCCGGTTAGAGATGCCAAAGTGCGCAACGTGGACGCTCCTAAGGATCAAATGGACAAGGAGTGGGAAGAGTTTCAAAAGGAGATCCGACAGGTGAACACAAAGTCCGAGGCCATCGTGGCAGAAGAAGACGAGGAGGGGCGACTTGAACGTCAGATTGATGAAATTGATGAACAAATTGAGTGTTACAAGAGGGTGGAACTACTGAGGGACAGACGGGATGTGGTGAAGAGCAAGTCTCTGCCCAGAAAACAGGAACAAGTGGACACTGGCGACAGCACTGAAGAAGAGGAGGAGGAAGAAGAGGAGTTGCTGGGGCTTTTGTCACAGGACTGGAGAGCCAAAGGAGCTCTGGCCTGACTTTCTCTTGATATGTGTGACTGACCTCAGTTTTATTCAGAATATTGTTATAACCTTCCTCAAGGTGGATGCCAATGTGTTCCAGTTTCCAAAAACTGTGAAGTTTGTGAAAATGTCTATCAAATCTTTCTCCCTTTGTATATTTCAGACTGGATTGGATATAATTCTAGTAAAAGACCTGAGTGCCACAGACACATGAGAATTGCCACTTTGTCTTATGACACAAGGGAATCCAACAATCAAACCTTTAACTGTGTGTTTATTCATTGGTGCTCAAACAAAGACATTCATAAAATCTCTCATTTACATACAGTAGCAGCATGGACCCAAAATCTATGCAATGGTGGCCAAAGCCAGCTAACCAATGTCCCGCAAAAACAATTAGTTGCCTACGTTAAGTTATAAATAATGCGTTCATGTTACATAAAAAGGAACATGCAAAGCACAACAGAATTAAAAAATGCAACATGTTGGATTATGTCTCTAAAGCAATTTTTTTTATCATCCCAACCCCATTTACAAGGTAACTGGATTAGATTACATTTTTACAGCATACAACAAAGTCTGAATATGACAAATCTATGATGTAAGTACATTATTAGGCCATTTAAATGCCATAAAATGAGTCAAGTCCAGAGTGACGATCAGTGCTTCTTATACTACCTGTTACATATTGTGAGCTATGTCTTCTGCCTTTTCACTGCAATTCTACACAGGTAACATCTGAATCATTTTGTTATTGCTACATATGCCTCATGAGTTACGGCTTTAAAAATCTTTTACGTGACTTTAAGTGTTCGTAGCCCTTCAAATCTGCAAAACATCAGGAAAATGCATAAAACAGAACCACAGTCACTAGATATACATGTACAGATGGATAATATACATGATCCAAACCATCTGAATAAGGTAAATGAGGAGGGGGAACAATCAAACTTGTATCCAGCGTAGAAAAGAGCATACAAAAGTATGTTTTTGGAGAAGTTAGGAAATTGTCTAAAACCAAAACAAAAGCCTGACAAAGCTGTTTATAGTAGTCATTTGTAAACATTCATAAAATTCTATCTCATGTTCTATAAATAAAGTTTACGTGAGTTGTACCAGGTGCCGGCAGGAGGAAAGTCTGCTATACACTGACAGTTACAGCCTCAGTAAAAGCTAAATACACAAAAACTTTACATCAAGATGAGACAGGTGGTCCAAGGAACGAACAAACCAACCAACAAATAAAGACAAGTACATGAACGCTGCAAGTCTTAAGATTCAGGGTAAAGCATGAGAGTCAAAATAATTCACACTTATTTTTTATGGATTAATAATATAAACCGAGCCATTTGTTAACATAGGAGCTGGATGTTCTATATACAGATACTCATTTGAATTGCTGTTAAAATTTAAGATGCTTTGGGGCTGACACTGGGTCGAAATGGACTCGAGGATGGGGAGCGAGTACGGGGAATGTCAGTGTCACTTTTTCCACAATCAGTATGATAAATATTCAGTTCAGGAAAGTGCAGCAATTACAGAAAAGAGGCGGAAACCCCAAACCCCACAGACCCAGCTGGGTATTCAATACTGTTCACTGCTCTCGGTGATGATGATGTGCTCACAAACCTAAAGCAGCTCTCAGCTCCTTCAGCGAATACTTCTGATCCCCGTCAGTGTCAAAGCACTTGACGATACGATGGCTGGGTGTTGATGTTCCAAATATTTCCCTCAGGTCCTCGTAGGTCAGACTCAATGAATTTTGTTCAGCATCTGTCTGCTGGAACATGCGTTCCAAGTCTGTAACAAAAAATATTTTAATTACAAACAAAATTTGTACACTTTGGAAATATTTAATTTTTTGCTAAAAGCAAAGCAACAAGTTCTGAAGCCTCCTCACTTCTGTCCCATTAGTTTGTTTTAAAACATCACATAGCTTATTAAGATTTAAAGAAAAAAAACTCATAAAGAACATCAGGATTCAGCATTTATAATTTTAGAGTTAGAGCCGAAATACAAGGCATATACAACCACCAACAAAAAGTTGCCCAGTCTTCAGCAGATATGTGTACTGCACATATAGTGACTGGATGGAAATGCAAACTGCATTTTCCTAATTGTAAACAAATATGGTATATAACTGCTATGGTGTGGCTCAGTTTACCACACAAAACTGAACCTGTTTAATCCAGAGGTTGTGGCATCACTGCTTAGAAAGTGACCGCTCACATTAGGGTCCTTCTTCCGTCCTGCAATCCATACCTGCACTCATGAAATTCAATTATTTGCTCTTAATTATGTTTCATTTCATGCCAGGACTTTTGACAGAAATCTAATTTCATAGGTTTAGAGCATGTCCACACATTTACAGTTTTCTAAGAAAAATGCATTTCCGCACCACTCTAGAATTAGGAACTCTACAAGTGAGTCTTTTAGAAATGCCTGATATTAGGTTTGCTAGTATGTGTGGAGATGCTAAAACATTCTTCTGGACACAGATCATTTTCATATAAGTGTGGATTTAGCCTCACTGTACTACAAGGATATGAAAGGACTGCTATGGTTTTGTTCTTGCAGCGCCTCGAAAGCTCATTAACGCAATGTATCCCTTTTGCTGAATCAATGCAAAAAAAGTATCAAAATAAGATTAGGGGATTATGCGCTGGGCTATTTGTTGGCTGAAAGGTAGTCTTATCATCTTGGTAAGGTTGCCAGGCAACAAGCAGAGACTCCTTTCATTACAGCGAAGAATCAATCGTCTCATTTAACTTCACAATAAAGCCAGCGTGTGTAATTCCCAATATTTTGATTTTTTTTTCTTATGAATGCTGAGATGTGTATTTTATAGTGTTAGAGCGCACCTGTCAGAGAACCGATGCCAGGCAGTGACACCGTCTTTGGACATTTTGTCCAAATATGTCTCCTCGAGCGGTTTGCAGTTAAAAAGGGAGGATGCCTGCTTGTCTGTGGCTCTGTCAGCGGGGTGGTGATCTCTGTCAGAAAATACATAAATAAAGAAGAAATAAGCATTAAAATGCAACACGGAGCAAATATGACCTCTGTAATAAGCTCCCTTTTGTCTACACTTTACCCTGCACATCCCCCAGTGTTGCTTTGGTTGTTGTAGCTTCTTTCACCGCCTCAGTTGCTGGACTTTCACTGCTGACTGCCGCTTCAGGTGCTGGGTCATTGTTGGTCAACTGTACAGCAGAAGATAAAATAAAAAGTGCTTACAGTGTTCCTGTAAATCCTGGTATCAACACAACACCACAAAATCAACAAATGGAAGGGAAAAAAAGGCTCATCATATTACTGACGCTTTGTTTTGAGCCATTCTCTAATGAGGCCACTCTCTGATGAAGATCTGCCACTGTAGAGAGGAGGATGTGGATCTGCTCATCAGTCCATGTGTGGTGCTGCTCCTCTGTCTTGTTAACCTCACTCATGGCTTTTCTCAGGTCTGTTATGTCCTATAATGATTAAAAAGAACATGTCAACCATCTCATAGTTAAGGGAAAAGAGATTTTATACCAAGGTGTTAATGGGTTCAGGTTGACAGTGTACCTTATATGACTGCTGCAGTCATGGTATCAGGTAGATGGAAGTGTACAATTACTTTCTGTGTGTCTTTTATCTTCCTGTTGTGCTAATGAAAAATAATGTGGAGAAAACATTCTGCAGTCGTCTCGGATATTTGACCTAGTTTCACTCTGCAAACTAAAGCATCTAAGCTCCCAAAATAGATTGGCACTTGTTTCATGTATTATGGATGGAAACACAAGGCATGAATCCAAGAAATGACAGGACCTTCTTAACCCAGCAACTCCGTCAATGTAAGCTTGACAAGAACTGCAAAAGCATGCATGCATTTGTGGTTTAACAAGTTAATCTCGCTGTGGCGAAGTTCACCTCAGCTTCTGGTTTGGATCTGTGTAACAGTTAAGCAGATCAACTGACATTTCATCGACTGAAACGCCTTGGTCACGTCTGAGTAGATATGTCTCAATTCTGAGTGAGACTGAAAGTACATTAGACAGCAGGACACCAAGTTATTTAACGCATTCATTCCAGTGCGCGCAGTACTTGTTTTATGCGCACACCTGTCTCTATACGTCCATACATAAATAATAAATAAGATCTGCAGCCTTCAGCAGCATTTGAAGGGAGCAGAGATGTAAATAAAAACAGACAAGCTGTCAAACAACATAAGTGAAATCCAACTTTGACACTGACTCATAAATTAATTTTTCAGCTTTGCTCATGTGAAATACTAAAGCTATCCTATTTCTGAAGGAATACAGCTACTGATTATTCTGTGATGGTTGTCAGCTACCAACACTGCATTAACCCTTCAATATTTGTGAAAAACAGCTGGGAAGGCTATACTCATGGACCCTTCTGCCTCTCACACAATTTATCAACATTGAGAAACAGTCGTAACTACTGAGACACACTGAGATATATAACCACTGGCTACTTTATTAGGCATATCTTGATAGTGCCAGCTAGGATCCCCTTTTTCCTTCAGAACAACCTCAGTTCTTAGTACATAACGAGTGGTTATTTGAGATACTGTTGCCTTCCTATCAGCTTGAAGCAGTCTGGTCATTCTTTTCTTTTCTGACCTCTGTCATTTTCACCCAGAGAACTGCTGCTCACTGGATATTTTTTGACACCATTCCCTATAAACCCCAGAGATGGTTATGAGGAAAACTCCCAGTAGAACGACAATATGTGAAATACTGAGACTAGCCCATCTGGCACCAACAACCATGCCACATTCACAGTCACTTAAATCACTTTTATCCCCCATTCTGATACTCATTTTGAACTTTCGCTCATCTTGACCATAACGACATGCCCAAATGCATGAAGTAGCTGCCACATGTTTGACTGATGTTCCTAAACATGCAGTTCAACAGGTGTAACTAATAGAGTGGTCACTGAGTGTATGTGGATGATTGAAAAACACAAACAAGAGGGTTGTGTACATTCTAGAAGGAAAGTAAAAAATTAAAAATAAAAATAGTTACATTGAAGTGACTAAAAATGTTTTTTGCATGTGTAACTACACAGAGCAAAATATTAAAGGGAATTTTTTCTGTTCTCTCGTTTGCTTAAATCTGCATAATTAACAATTAAAACAAAACGTAAAACCTAATTGCTTATACATATATACACTTTCTGAATCAAGTATCATGACACTAATACAAAAAAAGAAAAACTGAGTGTTTAAAGCAGTCTCAGATTTTTGCTTTCAAAAATTATTTGCGCATTTAATGTAATTATTACCTGAAATCTTTCCCAGGTTTATTATCAACATACATTAATGTAACTGCATGCAAACAATGGCCAAATAAGGGAAAAGTACAATTAGTTAACTTCAAACATACACAAGCAAGAAGTACAAAAGCAATCTGAAAGTGTGAATGTGTGGAGGAAGCGCTTGCAAGATCTGATATGCTCTTTAGTCACAACATGTAGTTGTAC